GCCCGTCACCCTTCTCTCCACACCTGCCCCTGGTCTCCACTCCTACCCTCTTCACCCCCACACCTAGCCCGTCACCTCTCCACCTGCCCCTGGTCCTCACTCTACCTCTTCACCCCCCCACACTAGCCCGTCACCCTTCTCCCACACCTGCCCTGGTCCTCCCTCCCCTCCCTCTTCACCCCCCACATAGCCCGTCACCCTTCTCTCACCTGCCCCTGGTCCTCCACTCCTACCTCTTCACCCCCCCACCTAGCCCGTCACCCTTCTCTCCACCTGCCCTGGTCCTCCTCCTACCCTCTTCACCCCCACACTGGCCGTCACCCTTCTCACCTGCCCCTGGTCCTCCCTCCCTACCCTCTTCACCCCCTACCCGTCACCCTTCTCCCACCTGCCCTGGTCCTCCTCCTACCCTCTTCACCCCCCCACTAGCCCGTCACCTTCTCCCACCTCCCTGGTCCTCCTCCCTCCCTCTTCACCCCCCACTAGCCCGTCACCCTTCTCTCCCCCTAGTCCTCCCTCCTACCCTCTTCCCCCCCACTAGCCCGTGCCCTTCTCTCACCTGCCCTGGTCCTCCTCCTACCCTCTTCCCCCCCCACACTAGCCCGTCACCCTTCTCTCACACCTGCCCTGGTCTCCACTCCTACCCTCTTCCCCCCCACACTAGCCCGTCACCCTTCTCTCACCTGCCCCTGGTCCTCCACTCCTACCCTCTTCACCCCGCCCCCCCACACTAGCCCGTCACCCTTCTCTCACACCTGCCCCTGGTCCTCCACTCCACGTCACTAGCAAATGCTTCGGACATGGGTTCATACTCCCATGGTTCACAACTCTCAGAGACGAGGATTGACAACGCTGACTGTAGCAGGTGGAAGTCTGTACATAGCTCTGTGGTTACTGCATTTAGCATAATTCTATAATAATGCAAACTGGGTAAACAGTATGGGACAATGTATTGTCTGAAACATGATCTTGAACAGAGTAAATAGATATAATTTTATCCTCACCATTGTGTTCCCACAGGTGAGGATGACTGCGCAAGTTGGGAGCGTCAGGTGGCATGGAAAGAGGAATACCAAGCGCACACACGCAAGTTACTCCTGCAGATAGCACAACTCAAGGAGGAGCTAGCCAGAGAACAAGCCAACCGTAAGTCATCAGTTACACTGTATATGTACCGTACTAGAACACTTAGGGGCTTGGGCTTGTTCAGAGGGAGGGAGCTTTGTAAATACAGTACTGTACATACGTACAGTATACCAAAATCTTTGTTAGGATCATAGCATTAGGTTCAGTTCTGTTTAGTGCCAGATTTAGGCCTGTGCAGACCCTGTGGAGACCCTGTGGAGACCCTGTGCAGTTCAGTTATGCCTATGGGGCCCTGAGCTCCACTCTACTTACTTTTAGTAAGATATTCATGAGCCGTTGTGTTATAAAAGTAAAATGCCTTACAAAAAAATAAATGATTGCCCTGGGCCTAGAATATGGGAAATTTATTTTTACCTTAAATCTCTTTGAGTAAGCAATAGTGTATCCTAGCTTATATACTATCCCCCCCTCCCCTCCCCAGGTTGCTAACTACGTACAACAATAGAACAAATAACTAGCCAGTGACAAAAGATGATAGCTTTTTATATACCCAGTACTCCTTTCTAAATCCGGCACTGCAGCAAATTCATAATACTGTACTATACTGTACTGTACAGGTACTGTATATTTTGGACTCGTCATTCACTGTTTAGTACAGTTACTTGTCATACAGGGTTGCCACAGGTTAGGGAATTCCGTGGCAGGTCTGGGAAAAAGGCCTTTTTGAAAGGGTCAGGAATTTCATATAAGCTCTGAAAAAAAAAATATTTTCAGAACGTTCAGGTTTGTTCTGCATACCACAGGAAAATGACTGGATGCTGTTTTTGCTGAATATGTGTATAGTAGACTGTGGGAGTTCTTTAAGATGATTTTTACCCTATCGCATGGCCAGGCATCAGATGAACAGGGTTCTAGCATCAATAAAGATGTACAGTGCCCAAGATGAAACCAACTTGTTGGAGCAAAGAATTTTTTGTGACAGAGTTTTTAACATTTTAGTTGAAGAAAAGAAAAGTGATCAGTCAAAAATAAAGATTTCTAAAGAAATGTTGAGATATTGCAGTAAGGATGCAGTAGGATGAAATGTGAAACCTAATGGAGAAAAGCAATATGTGTAAGATAGTGTTGATATTGAAAAATCTTGACTGAAAAAAAATAGATGCAGAGATAAGTCACATAATGTCGGGAAAGAGCTCAGAAGCTCTATTCCATCCCCTGAGCATGCCAAGTAGCTATCAAGCTCCTTCAGTTGAGGAGTTTGTGGATGATTGTTGCCCCCATAGTAAGTGAATGACTGACTCACCGTGAACTGTCCCTCTAGTTGGGGGGTGTCTGTGGTGACGTTATTTTTTTATTCTATTTGATGAGTGGCTGAATTTTTTGCACCACGTAACATCACATCTGGCGGGTGGTGGGGGTTAGCACATTGGTACTTACTGTAGTTATTTGAGTAGAATTTTAAATACACGGAGTCTCACACATATGTATACATACAGGCTTTATATCTAAGATGGAATTATGTAAAGCATTTTAGAATCACAGCCTCTTTGAAATTCATTTTAGGTACAGGTACAGTATAGTCTGCATTTACGCGGTCAATTGAACCCGTGGAGGTCCGCGTAAAACGAGAAACGCGTAAACAAAATAACAGAACATCTGGGATTAATTGAAATAGAGACTGGGCCGACTCCCAAACTCCACTTTTTCCGACAATACGTACCTTGAAGTAAAAATAACATCATAATTTTATGATGGTATTGACACACACATAATATCTAAATAAAAAACTACAAATATAAAGGTGTTTAACACTTACGTTAGTTGAAGAGATGGGTCGGCACACGTGGATGGCGGCTGGTTCCGAGGCAAAGGGCAGATTAGTGGCCCTCCGGTGAATCACTATCACTATTCACAGAGGTTTGCAGGGCCTCCCTGACAAACCCCTCAAAGTCCATATCCTCACTGTCACTATCACTGACTTGGGCTGGCTGTGGTTGTGGTGGGTTGCGGGCGAGACTAGCATTGATGTTGTCGTGATACATCTGGACATACGGCTCCATAATTTTCGACAGAAGGTTATTAGACACTTCATACCGATGCTTGACTGTGTCTTTGTCAAGGATGAGCTTCATTTTCTCCCCCAACTCGATGACTTCCTTCACATAATCATGGCTTGGTCCAGGTAGTTCAAGGTTTCCCTGGGGTGGTGGGGGTCCAGCGGAAACCATTGTGAGGGGAATAGCGGGCACAAGAGAGAAAAGTATACGCGGAGAACTGAGAACAATGAGACTGGCCCGGCTAGGTCAGCGACTTCTTCCCTCTTGTGGCAGGGCACGGCAGTTACATTAGACCAATCTCAGCTAGCGGCGGAGGGAGGTAAGGATGCGTGGCCCAATCACAGTCCGATACGTCATATGACGTCAGCGATAACGTAAGAGCGACTTAATGTGCACCCTCCAGGCGCCGATTCCCGCGTAAATGATGGAATGAACCGTGTAACTTAAAATTTTCATTCTGGCAAGGTGTCGCGTAAATGACCAAATGCGTAAACCAAATCCGCGTAAATGCAGACTATACTGTATATGCAAAGAGCAACTGACGTCTAACGGGAAAACCAAGCCCCTGAAGGAAAGGTGGGGGAGAAGAGAAGGTATTCGATGGGTGAGGGGGGAGATAAGAGGGTAGGCTAGGTGATGGGGGTGGTCAAGGTGCTAATGGACACAAGAAGATCAAAGGGAAAGTCCACTGTCATGGCCACTACCACCTGACCTGACCAGACTTCACCTCACGAAACCTCGGTGTGTGACCGCATGGTGTCTCCCCACACTGTACCCTCCACCCCACACAACTCTTTTACTATAGTTAATAATTAATTAATTTAAGATTATATTATTAGTTTGCATGTAACGAGTAATATATTTGTTTTTTTCAATTGTATTGGAGTAAAAGTACTAAAAAAAGTGAGTACCTGTACTTGTTAAAAAGTAAATACATACCCAGAAATCTTACACGGGTACAGTACTCGAGTAAATTTATTTAGTTACTTTATAACTCTGCCTAAAGGATTTAATTTTATAATTTTATATAGTTCTGGTCATTTGCTTTGATACATAGCAGTGGTCACATTTCATGATAAAGCTGATTGATGAATTATATATTAGTGGTGGTTGGTAGTGTTCCAGTGGTATGGGGTTAACTCTTCAGTTGGAAAGTGAAAAATCATCCTATGGCCAAAACCGCTGATGGTGAGTCCAAGTATGTGGGTAAATACAACCTCCAGTGTGTGACCGCCATTTCCCGCCTCAAACTTAAATTGTCTCCTTTAAATACTGTAGTGAGGAAGTTGTCAGAATTCAGTCAGGGATTTTTTTTTTTGCAACCCTGTTAAAATACAGTACAGTAACTGTTTTTCAATGGTGATTGTTAGAGTTTTTTTCAGTTATTCTGTATGTGTTTAAGTTAATTTCCAATTCCAAGAGGAAACACATTTTCAGCAAAAAAATAAATAAATACCTGTACAGTAAATCCCTTTTGGCGACAAAGATAGAATATTTTGATTTTGTTCAAAATCTTATTAGGTAACCTACTCCAAGACAGTCTGATTAAGATCTGGAGTAAAAATGTGCGAGTAATTTTGTTCATTTATTGTCAATAATTTTGAATAATTTCATTCATGTTGCAACTATAATTCCTCAGTACTGTATGTACCTGTAATTTTCTTATGATCATTTTTAAGCGTGTTTCTCTTACAGTATTCAGGATGTACAGTGTTTGTCTCTATCTACTAATCTTCGAGGTGAAATCCAGATTGAGAGTTTAGTGAATCACTGTTAACCTAAAACAGTTCATACGTACAGTAGGATAATCATCTGTTCTCACAGTTAGTGTATTACTTTTATTAATTATTATTGTAGGAGGTGATTCAGAATCGTCAGAGAGTCCAGCCGGGGTAGGAGTGGGGCCACCTCCACCTGTTATCAGCTCCAACACCCACACCAAGAACAACAGTAATGTGATACTGGTGGATGGGCCATGTGGGGCCATCATACAGCACCAGGTGGCTCAGTCAGAGATAACACAAGGGATTCCACTTAACAATGAGTAAGTAACCTTATTAATAAAAGTTTCACATTAGCACAGAAATATTTCATTAAAATTTGAGTTTCATTTAAAACACCTTTTGTCAAATGTTTATAGTGAATGTTAATATATTTTTACTTTTATCCTCTTTGCTACTGATCGACTCGTTAGCTGCTTGGGCAGCCGGTCATGTCTTTTATGTACTGTTGGCAAGTATTGTACTGGGTCCAGAATGTATCTGTAACTGTGCCAGTGTTGGTCAAGTCTGGTCTTGAAAGAGCTAACACTCAGTGGCATCACAACACAGACTGGGAGATTGTTCCAAGAGTTTACAATTCTCATTGCAAAAAAGTTTGCTCTCACAAAATTCTGGACTAGTGGCTTCTTCCTCCTTGAGCTGTGACCTTTAGGGGTGCAGGCATCTTCCAGCTCTAAATATGGACACTCAACTGAGTGATGCCCTCTTGAGATGCTTATAAACTTTAAATAAGTTACCCCTTAACCATTTATAGTATAAACTAGGCAATTGCTGGCATTCTAATCTCTCTGGGTAACTGAGGTGCAGTAGTGCAGGCACCTGTCTGGTAGCCCTCCTTTGGACATTTTCAATCAACTTCGTCTCTCGCATATCTTGGGAACTAGATGGGGTGACAGTACTGTACCATACTCCAAGCGAAGCACATCACTCCTGAAGAGTGTTACGAGATATCTAGATATCTGAACAACTTTCTTATAAGACCTCCTAGCTTAGTCACTTGATTCACCTTCTTCTCACAATGGCTGGAGAACTTAAGTTCATTGTCAACATACTCACCCAGGTCCTTTTCACATTTGGTCTCTATTAATGGTATTTCCTTATCCCATTGGGACATTGAATCTTAACAGCCATTTCTTCGACCATTCTTGAAGCTGACATCTTTGTGTAAGTCTTCACACTCCACTTGGTTCTTAATTTCCCTGAATAACTTGGCATCATCTGCACACATTTGATGGAGAAGTGTATAGCTTCTGGCATGTCATTTATGAGAACAAACAAACATCGACAAGCCCAATACACTGCCCTGTGGTACTCTACTTGTCACGAGCACACGACAGTTTTGTGCCATTAATCACCACTCGCTGCTTTCGGTCATGAAAAAAGTTGTTGATGGTTCAGCTGTACTGTAATGCATATGCCTCTCACCATTGTGTCCCGGGCAGTTGTGGGTAAGTTATTAACAATTTGTAATCGAGTAAAAGTAGAATTACTTGTTGAAAATAGTAATCGAGTGATGTAGGCTATAAGAAAATTTACTAGCCTAAAAAAGGAATCGAGTACCGGGTAAAAGTAAAAATTTCTGATCCCTGAAAGTAATTAAAAGGTATAAAGTAGAAAGCGCTTATCTTCATTGATTATTTAAATCTTTTCAATGTTTAATTTTATTGAAATATTGTAACACAAATATGAAGAACTGGTAATTAATAGCACTTTCTGAATCCTACAGTTGAAAGAAAAAATAAGAATATTAAGTATAAATGGCATCTTAAAGGTACAAGGGGAAAAATTTAGCATTCTGAGCTCACTCACAGAACTGAGAAAACAAAACATAAACAAAATTCTCTAGCTCTGTTGAACAGAAAAAGCAATTTACAATTAATATCACCACTCAAAATTTGCTGGAGTTAAATTTCACCAACAACTGATGTTCAAAGTTCTTCTCACTAATACCGTATGTGAATGACAGGGTACAAAAATTAGTCCTGTGCAGCTAAGCATTCGCTTGTATGCAGCACTTGAAGGCAAAGGCATGTTTAGTTCGAGAAATATTGGCTCAAGTTGTGGCCACTCCTTAATGCTCTCTACAGAGCTGACTGGTTCTTCTAAGAAGCGAGCCACATGCTCCCACTTTATTTTGTACTTTCATCCCATTTACAAGTGTGTAGGGGTATCGTGATATTAATGTTGTCTAGCACTCAGGATGGAAGGAAACTCTAATGTGGTTTTCTTGTATAATATATAAGTTTTATGATAGACAGTCTGGTGCTGGAGATGCCGTGTGGTGGGGAGCTGCTCAGTAGAGACGTTCGGTGAGTAGCGTGTTGAAGGAGGTAGATGTGCAGGAGCTTCGTTAGAGAAGATGTTGCCTGTTGCTGGCCTCCTGGTTGAAATAAATGTTAACAGCGTGGAGCTTGCTGGAGGAGGTGTTGCTTGTTCAGGAAGATGGGCAGAATGAGAGTTGGTTGGTGAGGAAGCTCAGAGGAGGACAGCTGGTGGGTCGCCATGCTCGCTGGCGGGAGCGAGGACCGCCAGACAGGCGAGGAGATGCGAGGTCTGCCAGGCAGCGGCGGAGGAGGAGGTGTTGCTTGTTGTAGAAGAATGGTCAGAATGAATCTCAATGGAGAGACAGAGCTTATATACCCAGCAGCAGCCGCTATGAGTCATGTTGGGAAAACCCGAGAAGTCGCCGGTGACTAGTTCCGTTGCTAAGATACGGTAACATCTGGTTGGTTGCTAGGGAGGCGGTAGCAGGTGGTGGCAGCTACGCAGTTTGTAGGGGAGACGTCCACTACAAGTGTCTCTATTTGTATCGCCATGAGTCGTTGCTATCCACACATACACACCGAGATCCTTTACCTAGGAGATTTCAATGTACACTTGCCCAAAAAAGTATCGACCCCTCTACTCATCGATACAATGTGTCACAATGGACGAATACAGTATTTCCAATCACCAAGTGTGATGTTGGTAGGCCTGCTTTCCTTGTATCTGTGAGATTGCCAATTATTATTTCTGTCATTTGTTGTAATTATGGTGAATCACCGTGCTTCATTTTTAGTAGAATAAAATAACAATATTAATGTAGCGAAAATATATCACCTGCAGTCAAATAATGGGTGTTTTCTGCTGGAAACCATGACCAACACTAGTACCCGAGACTCATTGGAAAACACAGCTTGCACCTGGCCACATTATGATGGGAAATGCCTGTGATGTCTCCCAAGTGACTCTCAATCCCATGGGAGAACTTGACGACATCATCTCCTAGTGTATATCAGATAATATTCCGTTGCCAGCACAAATCATGAGATAATATGTTATATTCATAATTGTTTTCTCATTAATTGAGGTAGAAATAATATCGAAATGCAGTAAATCATAATGTCATTGTAATTTAATATGGCATCATAATACACCTGTAATTACTGTATTTGCAGATGAATGTAATATCGGATCATAGTGTTTCATATTTCGTTCAAAGCGATTCCATTGTAACCTCAGTTCATGAAAACCTAGTAACATTATGTTCCTATTTGGCAAGCCATCCCCTGGGGCTGAATTAGTATCTAAGGTGCATAAATTACAGGTGTTACTCGTAACTTTATTGGTTTTGTGTATGGTATTGCAGTTTATCCTATTTCATTACATTAAGTAGAGAATAGTTGATATATTGCAGATATCATGGTGGTTATCAGGTGCAAGAAGAAAGAATGAAAGGTGCAACTCACAATCAGAAATACCAACTGAACCGAGACTGCTGTGCACGTGTTATTGTGTTAATTTTAAAAAACATCAGGCCCAAGGGGGCCGATACTTTTTTAGAGGAGAGTGTACATCACAGAGAGTGGTTTGGCTCTGCAAGGGATGACCCAGGTGGAGTTTAGGCACTCTTTTTCCTTACTTAATGATCTGGAACAAATAATTAAACACCCTACATATGTTCCTGATCGACACAATCAACTTTCTAATATTCTTGATCTTTGTTTTACCTCTAACCCCTCACACTGTTCATACTCAGTTTCTGCCCCCTTAGGGTCTTCTGATCACAATCTTATTTCTATTAAATCAACTGGGCATGATCACCTCCCCCACCCCTTCTATACCACTATTGGAGTGCACTCTGTCAATCCTTTTGAGAATTCTCCGACTTTCCCTGGGATGAATGTTGCTTTTCCACTCGGGACGCCTCTGTATGTGCTGACAGCATTGCTGGAGTTATACTGGGTGGTATGAGTGTAATTATCCCCTCTACCAAAACTTTCACTTTACAATCATGGTTTGATCGCTCCTGTTCTCTTGCATGTAGGGAGAGAGACAGGGTGTATCAAGTTATGAAACTATCTCCTCCTGTTACTTGCTTCTCCTTCATTACTAAAAGGAATCATTTGTAACTTTGTAAGGCTATTCTTGGTAGGGCCAAGCGGAATTATATAAAACGAAAGACCGCTGACCTGACTAACTCTTCTTCTAGTAAATCCTTCTGTCCCTTCACCAAAAACATCTGTAATAACTTCTGCATTCCTTTTTTTCTCCTCCTCTCTTCCGACCTGATAACTCTATAGCCCAACTTTCCTCCTGATAAAGCCAATCTCTTTGGCACCTTATTCTCCTCTTAACTCCACCTTAGACGATTCCAACTCTATCCCTCCTACTCCTGCTCCTCCTACTGAACCTATGCACTCTCCTATAATCTCCAATCATAAGGTTGCTGATGTGTTAACCAGGTTGGATGTGGGTAACGCACACGGACCAGACGGAATACCCCCTCGTGTTCTGAGGGAGTGTGCTGAAGTTCTGGCCCCTGTGCTTGCTGCCTCTTTCACCTTTACCTCAGAACCCAAACTTTTCCTTCTTGGAAGCATGCCTCGGCTTAGCCCATCCCGAACAAGGATGACCATTCTAATCCCTCTAACTATTGCCCTATTGCCCTAACTTTATCCCTCTCGAAGATTTTTGAAACTATCTTAAATTTTCATTTACTCCATCACCTTGACTACCTTTCTCTTTTGTCGGATCACCAGTATGGCTTCCACCAGGCGAGATCTACTGGTGATCTGCTCTCTTACTGCACCCATCTTTGGTCATCCTCTCTTTGGGGTTATGGGGAAACTTTCGTCGTGGCCCTAGATATCTCCAAAGCATTTGACAGGGTATGGCAAAAGTCTTCTCTTTCTAAACTTTCCTCTTATGGTTTCTCTCCCCCACTTGGTTCTCTAATTTCTAGGTTCCTTAAGAACCGATCCATGGCAGTTGTTGTTGAGGGATCGATCTCTCGCTCTTTCTCTACCAATAGTGGTGTTCCACAAGGTTCTGCTCTTTCACCTACTCTTCCTTCTTTTTATCAATGATTTACTTCACACTATGACTAATTCTGTCCATTCTTACCCTGATGATTCTACTCTTCACTCTTCTTCACATTTCTCCCTTCCCCCTAATTCTCAAACTAGATCTGTTTCTAGAGCTGATATCATTTCATCTATCAATGCAGATCTGTGCAGCATCTCCAAATGGTGAGGTAGAAACTTGGTTAAATTCAATACTGTAGTAATAAAACACAGTATTTACCAATTACACTTTCCAAAAAAGAAGATCTCTTTCCAATCACATTTCAGGACGCAATCATTCTGCTAAATTCTAAAATAGATATGCTAGGCCTCGCCATTACCTCTAATAACCTGTATGTCATGGAAGCCACACATCCTCAACATTGCTAAAGCTGCCTCCCAAAGCCTGGGAATGGTGTACATATGCCGTAGCTACTTCACTCCTGAGCAGTTACTTCAAGTATATAAGGGACTCATTTGTCCTAACTTGGAGTACTGCTCTCATATCTGGGGTGGCTCTTCTTCCGTCCAACTGTTAAATAGGGTGAAATCAAAGGCATTTCGTCTTATTAACTCTTCTCCTTTAGTTGATAATCTCTCTTCCCTTTCTCTTTGCTGCAATGTTGCTTCACACACACTCTTCTACAGGTACTTTAACGGGCAATGTTCGGTGGATTTGGCATCCTGTGTACCGACGGTAAGGTCGTGGGCTCGTAACACTCGTCTTGCCCGCGGTGCCCACCATTTCTGTGTGGATGTCGGTCACACTAGAATAACCCGCTATAGTACCTCCTTCTTTCCTCACACAGCCAAACTGTGGAATGCTCTGCATTCTTCTGTGTCTCCATACTCTTACAATCTGTCTCACTTTAAAAAGCTGGTTTTCCAGCATACTCGTGGTGTTGATTAATATACAGTAGTCGTTTTCTTTTATTTTTAATTTCTTAATACTCTTATTTTTTGGCCCCCCAGGCCCCGTTGTGGGTCAATGGCCTGTGCCCGGGTGGGCTATTACCAGTTTAAAAAATTAAAAATAATAATAATAATAATAATTAAAAAATATATATATAAATCCTCATCATAATCATCATTGCTACCAGTAGTGTTGGTGGAAAATTCCTTCTTCTCTGAGTCTAATATCTATGGACTGGAAAGTCTGACACCCACCAGTCAGAGAGTAATATCCAGTTAACTAGTAAATAATTTTACCTCTCCACTATTATCAATAATAGGGAGAATAAACAGCTTTGGAGCTTAAATAGATAATTAGTGAAACAAAAACATACTATACAGTGACCCCTCGTTTAACGAACGCCTCGGTTAACGAAATTTCGGTTAACGAACAGCCTTCCATAAGGATCTTCAATTCGGTTAACGAACAAAAATTCGGTTCACGAAGTTCTTACGAACCGACCTCAACATGTTTTCACTTGCACTGACCGGGCAACCAGCTTTAGTATCAGTCCGCCAATACATTAATCGGTTCTAGGGCTTAAATTCCTTACTACAGTGTATTTTAGTAAATATCAAGAAGTTTATACTATTCAATAATTTTAAAAGTTTAATATTAACTTTTTTAGTCATTTTAACAATTATTGAACAAAATTGAAGGTAAAGAAACTGTACTAGTTTCTGGCGTGCCATGCAGCCTGTTCACACACCAGACAGGCGTTAGTCTCTCTGTTTTCACTGGAGGTAACATCTTGCTTGAGACTCTCTTCAACTAAACGCTTTTTTTCTGTGTTTCCAAGCAAATTATTGGTCATTTTGAAATATATGGGGATTAGCCCACCCAGGCACATAGTCACTGACCCACATCGGGGCCTGGGGGGCGAAAATGTAGTAATAATAATAATAATAATAATAATAATAATAATAATAATAATAATAAAGAACCACAAAGAAATACAAAATGAAAAAAAAATCAAAAGTGAGGAACAATATGTGTATGTTGTGTTGTCAATAGTAAGAGAAACAATTGAGACCCTGCAATTGTGTGTAAATGAGGCAGAAAGTCAGATCAGCAACCTGGGACTTGGTTACAATTTTCGTGATGCCATGTGGCAATAAGATCTACCATAGACAACACATTCTGCTTCCAATATCTTCCCAGGTGGTAGCACCTCCCTGTTTGGTAGCTGGAAAAGCTAGTTAGTTATTGTAATAGATTACTGTACAACTACTGTACTTCATTACTTGCCCACCTCTGGTCATGGATTCAATTCCTGGCCTGGGACAGATGTGGGAGTGGTGATATTTGGTGTGACCATACCAAATTTCACAAGTCTTCTCCGGGTACACTGGTTTTCTCCTGTACTGTACTGGACAATGAAGGTTGTAAGAAGAAAAGACCAACTGCCCAAACAGTTAGTAAGCTGATAGAGGTAAAATGATAAACTAAAAATACATATGAATTTTGAATCCATAATTTTAATTCACCATTAATTAAAAAATTCACCCTGAATATCCAGATACCGGTAGATGTTTCGAGTTCAAAATAGCCAAACATAAAGATTCTAGTTTTGGACTTTCACCTTGATCGACCACTGGGACATACAGTAGATGACAAATTACTTAGATATACTAATGGGTTTTTGTTTATCTGTGTACTATTATGTACTATTAAGCATTATATTTGTAAACAACTAACCTAAACCATGGATAACATTGTTTCACATGACAAAAAGGTTGATTTTATTATCCACAGATACTAAAACTTGGGTCAGTTCATCCTTCCTCCTGCCCTTGCTCCAGTACAGTACAGTATAAAGTTTAGTAAAAACCAGCTGCTGCTCCAGGAAAAGTACGCTCTGGATGTTTTAGTAAATATTTAAGCCACCATAACAATAAACTCTAGTAGTTTATAGAAAACTAAGTAATTTTTCTTTGAAGTTATGCCTTAAGAAATTTCATAATCTTTCACTGAATTAAAGATTGTGATTCGCATTACCATTGTATTTGCACAACAGTACTTTGTTATGTTACTGTACTTGTTTGTAGAGCATAGACAAATCAGAAAATATTTACAGAAATTCTAATCCTGGAGATTAAACATTTTATTACCTATTTTCTTAAATCTTGAACCCAAAAGAACATTACTGTACTTGTCTTTGTATTTCTTCCTGTTTAATACCACAGTGTACAGTAGTTAAAACAACTATCTTTGCATAATTTGTGGGAAACAATATGAGACCATGGACGATAAATATTGGTATATGAGGGCTGTCACTAGCCACACGTAAAATTTCGGAGCATATCGACCCCCACCTGCACAGATAGTTGTTTAGCTACTGTACATGACCTGGTTTGTAATACATAAATTGGAGATGCCAAAACTTTAGAAGATAAGCAGACAATGAAACATGGAAGTTTCACTCAGAATATGTGCAAAATAATGAACTTGTTTAATCAGGAGATATGAAGACATGCAGTTTTCACTGTGATTTTGTTATTAAGAGTGTCAGAAGAAAGAGATAGCTTCCTTTAGCTTCCTTCACCACAACAGCAGAATGGCAGGCTTACTCGTTAGCACAAATACACTCTTACAGTAAAAAGGAAAAATATAGTAAAAAAGCAGGAATGAATCATACTGCAGATCTTGATATTTTAACTTTCCTTTTTTTTATATATATATATAATAAGTGGTCAGCGCTCAGATGATGCACTGAATATAATTCATAAATCATTACTGTTCAGTGAGCCTTCGTTTGTTTGTCGTGTTGTATAGTACAGTATGTGCTTATTAGGTATTTTAGAAATTAACAAGTTTTATCAGATTTTTATTAATTCTTTCCTACAGATATGAGGTTGTGGCCTTCTCCCATTTCACTTGGTCAAGAGTGTATCCCTCAGAGCTTGGGCTGGGGAAGAGAGTGGTGGAAAAGCCAATCGGTTTTAAACGCCGGGATATTGTTGCTTCTCTCACTGCAGCTCTTGATCATCTGAACACCCCTATACCTGCCAGGTAAGTTGATTTTCATTTGCAAGAACAACAAAAAAAATTAAATAGCAGGGTTGACATTACAAATAACTGATTCGTGTTAAGTGGAGAAAAATTTTAATACACATCAGAAGAGGGTCTCATAATTTTAGGAGCAATCCATACACTAATGATATTTAAAAATTCTCAAACTGGTCCATGAAAAGTTTTTGAGAAATAGTGAATTTAACGTTTGTGAGAGATTTGGCGATTCCAATTCGCAGGATATTTTGGATTTGGGTTGAAATGAACAAATGCTTTGGACTATGATTTATTCTTTGATTATTGACAATATTTGTATGCGTCATGGTATATAAGGGGTCCTTGGTTGAAAAAAGTTTGAGAACCCCTGCCTTATATAATGCTGTAATATTTAGCAATGTTTCATTACAGTACAAAATAAACTGTCAAAAGTAATTTTGCTTATTATGAAAATTTCTGTGACCACATACTGTAATTTTATTTTTACAGATTTACTGTTGATGATTTTGTGGAAGGAATGTATCGCACTGTGCCCACCAGCGGGACCCACTATGAGTTGTTGTTCCACGACCGCCACGCCAACCGTACCTCCCACCAGTACCGTACTGTCACCCTCTTGAGGCCCTTTGCACCACTTACTGTAGTTACCAAAGTGCAGCACAACACTAAACAGCTGGTGAGCTCACATATGCTGTTTAAAGACTTCAAGACATCTGTTTTGTTTTGTTTTATGTTGTGAAAATGTAACTTTCCGCAAGAAGATATAAAGCCACAATCTTGACGACCATGATCCTAATGTTAGAAGTTACAAACCATATAAAATGAAAAGTTTTCTTTAAATGATCGGTTTTATTTTTGTCTCCACATACATTATCAGTAAGCCAATGGTCAGGCTTGACATTTCAGTACACTACATACTGTACTAAACAGCAAATGTTATATACACACTTGGTTTTGAATATAGTACAATAAACCCTCAATAACTCGGCACATATGGGGCTCTGGCCTTGCCGAATTATCCCAAATTACTAAATGTAAGAAAGTAATACTTACCAGAACTGCAGGCAAAGAATGGAGTATCATAGGAGACACAGAGGCATGGTAGGTGACACAGAGTCATGGTAGGTGACACAGAGGTATGGTAGGTGACACAGAGTCATGGTAGGTGACACAGAGTCATGGTAGGTGACACAGAGGTATGGTAGGTGACACAGAGTCATGGTAGGTGACACAGAGGTATGGTAGGTGACACAGAGGCATGGTAGGTGACACAGAGGTTTGGTAGGTGACACAGAGGCATGGTAGGTGATGCTGGTGGCCAGATATGCCGAGATTTTCCCAGATAATTTTATATATCTCGGCATTTCCCGGGTTATACTATAATACATTCTAAGACCATATCCATGCCGAGTTATATGAAATTGCAAGTTATCAATTGCTGAATTATCGAGGGTTTACTGTATATTGAAAGTCCTTCTGTTGAACATGTTCATGCAAAATTTTGCATTGATAATTCAGTGTCAGGCACTGGGGGATGCTGGGGACAATAGGGTGCCTCGGTGTCTCTGTCAAGAATGTGAATTTTGTTTAATGAATATCTTTTTTACTTTTACTTTTATCCTCTTCACCACTGATCAGCTCGTTAGCCGCTTGGGCAATCAGTCATATGTTACGCACTGTTGGCAAGTACAGTATATCTCCTTTAGCCGGAATCCTTCAAACCAGGAACTCACCGATAACTGGAATTGAGATTTTTTCGTTAAATATTTCCCAAAGCCGTAATTTTCCGGAAAATTCCAGGTTTGAGAAATGAAAATTAGGCGCATTTTCTGAAAATTCAGAGAAAAATTTTCAGTTACCCGGAAAATTCCGGGGTTGAGGGATATTTTTCCGGGTTCGAGAGATGATGTAATGGGCAATTTCTGGAACTTCTGAGAACATTTTTCCGTTATCCGGAAAATTCCGGGGATGAGAGATTTTTCCCGGCTTTAAGAGAGTTGTCTTGTTACCTGTAAATCTCTCTTTCCCGGAAGTGCTCTGCACCAATTGTTCAGGCTAACGGGGATATCACTGTACTAGACATGCACTGGCTCCTGAATGTATCTGAACCTGCTCCAGTGTTGGTCAAGTCTGGTCTTGAAAGAGCTCACACTCGGTGCCGTCACAACACACACTGGCAGATTGTTCAAAGAGTTCACAATTTTCACTCGGCAAAGGTTACCTTAACAGTAGGTAGTATGTATTAGGCATCTACCAAACAGGGAGGTACTACAGCCTAAGAAGACATTGGAAGCATAATGTGTTGTCTAATGGTAGACCCTGCTGCTATATGGCATCAAGAAAATTGTGACCAAGTCCCAGGTTGCTGATCTGACTTTCTGCCTCATTTACACACAATTGTAGGGTCTCAATTGTTTCTCTTACTTTGACAACACAACATACATATAGCGTTTCTCACTGTTGATTTTTTTCATTATTGTATTTATTATTATTATTATCACAGTGTTGTTATTATTATTACCATTAATATTTTATTTTACTTTGTATTATAAATTTTATTTACTATGAATTATTATTATTACATTTTCGCCCCCCAGGCCCCGATGTGGGTCAGTGACCTGTGCCCGGGTGGGCTAATCCCTGTAAAAAAAAATAAAAAATAAAAATGAATAAAAAAATAAATAAATAAAACACACACAATTGCAGGGTCTTAATTGTTTCTCTTACCATTAACAACACAACATACATATATTGTTTCTCACCCTTGGTTTTTTTTTCAAACTGTTAATGTTTTTATTAATTTTTTTAAAGTATTATTTTTGTCCAATTTGTATTGTGTATCCAAACACTTCTCTCATTTCCATACTTTTCCAGAACTTTTATTTTAAGCCGAGGTATTTTAATTTGCATCTGTAACTCTTGGAGCTCAATTACCCTTTCCCAGGGAATATTTGTATATTGAGAAAATTTCACTTTTGCCATAATTACAAATTTACTCTCATAATCCTTGTAACTTTCTTCAGTTTCTCCTTACATGCCTACCATTCAGTATAGTCTCGTGTGTTAGTATACATTTATCCATCTTAACCACAAGTTCTTCTCGTGTATAATACTGTATTACAGTACAGTAAATGAAATTTTGGATCCTCTTCAGTATATCAGTGTCTTTTTGTTGATAGACTGCTTTAAGGTTTTCCGAATAACCAGTTAGGCTCGCCTATATAAAGTTTAATTATCATTAGTCATTAGTGTTACCTTTAATCTTTCTGCTATAACAACTGTGAAGGTGTAATGTCATCTTATTGCTCCCACAACAGATAAACATCATCCTGCCACTATCAGGAAGAACTGACACATTCAGAGGATTTATGGACAAGCTTGTGACTATCATTCTACGCCATGATCGCCGAATCTTCCTAACTGTTGTTTATTTTGGTCATGAAGGCTTGCAAGAAGTGAGAAACATTATTACTAATGCTTCTAAAGATGCCAAGTTTAGACACATCAAATTGCTCACCCTCAATGAAACATTTTCTAGAGGCAAAGCACTCCAGGTAAGATTCTTGCTGTATCAGTACAGTACTGAACATTTCTATTAAACTAATTCATTATCACAGTGTATTCATTATATTGAGGAGCAGATTTACTGTTTAAGTTTCCGTAGACCCAGGCTGGGGGCTAGTTACTATAAAGGAACAAAATAAAATTAAATGTTTCAATGTGCATGGGTGAAATAAAAGCGATAAGGAGAGAATGATTGGAAATCTGATACTTAAAAGGAACCTAAATGTTAGTGCTTTGTAAAAAAAAAATGAATGATAAAGGAAAGGTGAATTGAAGACATTTGAAAGGAGTAAAGTTGGAAGTATCTGAGTGTGTTAAAATAAGAGGTGTAGTGGTGTTGTTGAGTGATGAAATATGGCATTGTGTGATGGAATATAAGTAGGTCATTAGGGGAACGAGTTCCCTAGGGACGAAAATAGATGAAGCTGGAGCCTTGCGGGTTGCTAAGAGGAGTTATGCTGAGGCATTAGCAGGGCCACGGCAGGTGGCGGAGAGTAATGCAGGATCAGAACAGGTTCTACAGCAGCTAGGGACTCTGAAGAAGTGTGTCGAAGAAATGAAAATTAACGGACCTACTGTTAGTGGAGATGAGGAACAACGGGAACGTTTCCAGAGCAGGAACAATGTAACAGTTTTTGGAGTCCCTGAGAGCCAGGCGGAGGGAACTGAGAGTAAGGTAACACATGATAAGATGCAGTTTAAGAATATTTGTACAGAGGTTCTGAAGATGCCATCAACCCCACAGGATGTGAGGAGGCTGGGACAAAAGCAGGGGGATAAGCCTCACCCCCTCAGGATCACACTAGTGAGTCAGGAGGAGAAATGGGAGGTTATTCGGCAGGCAAAAAACTTAGCAAGGAGCGAGGCATCTCGGAGTGTATTCATTCACCCAGATCGCATTGTAATACAGAGGGAACAGCACAAGACGCTCCTGCAGGGCTTGAAGCAGAGAAGGGAAGAGTCAAGGAGGAACGGGGACATGTGTACATGGGTTATATTCAGGGGGAGGGTAGTGGAAGCAAGTGTGCTGACATAGGGCCAGGGGGAAGCAGCGCACCCTCCACCCGCTCTACCCCCCACCCAGGAGGTGGTACCAGCTTCGCCTACCAGACAGGAGGAGGCAAGCGCCATGTAAACAATGACATTTCTAACCACATCCTGCAAAATACAGTGTACAGTCAACCCTCGTTAATCCGGACCCCTTTAATCCGGATTTCGGATAAATCAGACGAAATCTGAACTGTCCGTATCAAATTTCTGGTTCTGGGATTGTCCCAGTTGCAATTTCAAATTCTGTGTCACAACTAAGGAATAACAAAGTCTCTGGTGCACTGCATTCCAAGATTAAGAGAAAACGGACTCCTATGACGGGGCACTCAAATAAACATACACATAGCTGTATAATGCAATATTAACCCCTAAATTGGTTAATTCGGACAATCAGCTAAAACGGACACCCATCCCTCTCTGTTAGTCTGTTTTAACGAGAGTCGACTGTACTTAGCAAATGCTGCAGCTTCTGAGAATGGAGGGGGGGGGGGTACTACTAAGGGCAGAGATGTTACCGAGAACAAATTCTGGCTTGAATGTCATGTACACTAATACTGACACGTTCCTTGATAAGAGAGGAGTTTGAAACATTACTGAAGGTACACCAACCAGATATTGTAGGAGCTGTAAAACTGTTGTGCAAGAACAGGAGAATCGACCCAGAGGAATGTGAGTTCAGTATTGATGGATATGACTCATTTATGAACCTTTCTCAAGAAACTTGCAAGACGGGTGTGGTTATCTATGTTAGGCAAGACCTTAGAGCCAGCCAGGCAAGGGTACAGGGAGAGGATGTTTTTGAAGAGTCCAAGTGGTGTAAAATTAAATTAAAGGGAGGGGACTTGCTTATCGTCGGGTGTATCTACAGATCCCCAAACTGTGGCCCACTAAATTAAAGGAACTTAAGAGCCTTAATAGACAATGCGGCGATGCTCAACCCTAGCCACCTCCTTATCATAGGGGACTTTAACTATGGCAACATCGACTGGAGAAACGATTTCACCCCAAATGACTTGAATAACCCTGCTACTCTTTTTGTAGAAACTCGGAGAGATAATTTTCTGTTCCAACATGTTAGAGACCCGACACATTACAGAGGGGAGCAAACACCCAAGCCACTAGACCTCATCATAACAAACAGGAGGGTATGGTGGCCAAACTGGAACACCTTGCCCCAGTTGGTACCAGTCACCATATACAGTAGTGTTGTCATTCAGATTTAACTGTTACCTAGTTCAAGATAAGGCCAGGCCAAGGTGCAAATATTACAAGGGAAATTACAACTGGATGAGGGAAGAGATGAGGGGTATCCACTGGCCTGACTCATTAAGGCACAAGAACGCAGACACTACGCTGAATATCATAACTAGTAAAGTGACCCATTTGATTGATAAATATATACCCAAGACCAAACCCAGTGCCTCTAGGAATACGAGGGGATCCCTACACATAAACCATGTGGCGGTCGACAAAGTTAAGAAGAAAACCCAGAAATTTAAGACGTGGGCTGGGTCAAACGATGAGCAGGACAGGAGGATGTATGCAAGAGCCAGAAACCAAGCAAAGATAGAGTGTAGAAGGGCTGAAAAGGAATTCTAAAGGCTGGTTGCAAGCGAGGTCAAGTCAAACCCAAAGGCATTTTACCGCTATGCAAAGTCAAAATTAAAAACGCGAGTAGGAGTATCAGACCTGAGGCTTGAAGATGGTAGTTACGCAGATTCTGACCAGGATAAAGCTGAGGCATTGAACAGCTTCTTATTATTATTATTACATTTTCTTCCCCCAGGTCCTGATGTGGGTCAGTGACCTGTGTCTGGGTGGGCTAATCCCGGTTTTCAGAGGTTTTCGGAATTTCGGATAAGGGGTTGTCAACTTGGATGGGTGACTTTCTAGCCCTAAGAACACCACCAGATGCTGTTGGCATAAAGACTGTACAGAAAAAACTACCACATGGCTTTGTCAGCTGTACTTGGTCAAATTGACTGAATATTAATTATTATTATTATATACTTGTACAACACTAAAGTACTTAGTAAAGACTGCTTGTGATACTGTTCTTAGAGTACTGTATAGGATATAGCTTACACTGTACAGAGTATTTTTCCTAACTAACAGCTTGATGATACTTCCTTTTAATTTCTTATACCGTAGCTGTTACTAATTCATTCTCTATCATCTGTATGTTTTTACTTTGATTGCAATACTTTATTATTACAAAAGTTTTATACATCATATGTTGACTACTACTTTTAATTCTCAGGTTGGAGCCACCCACTGGTCCAAGGGTGATGTACTGTTGTTCATGTGTGATGTGGACGTTGTGTTCAGCACTCGTTTTTTGGAACGCTGTCGTCTGAATGCTTCACCAGGCCATTCCGTATACTATCCAGTTGTGTTTTCTTTGTACAATCCCCAAATGGTTTATCCCCTCCAGGGCAAACCTGTACCTCAGGTGTGTAGTAATATACAGTACAATGCTTTTGTTTGGTTTTACATACAAGATTTCTGTCATGATACAAGTTGGTTTGACAGGTGATGATCCCTAATTCATAGCAGGATGCTAGTTTATCACTGGGTTGTACCATCATTGGCAAATACATCTGGTAGTTAGTAGCACAGTACTCATTTACTGCTGAAAGCACAAGGGCGACTGTACAGGGAAGGAACCCAGTTCTCCACTTTGCCCCAGGTTCAAGAAGGATGAATACCTTTTCATTTAATCTACCGAGTTCAATTACCTTAAATGTTTCTATATACTGTAAGTCATCAATTTACAAACAGGGATGTGTGTACAGAGTACTGTACTTAGAAAATGCAACATAATTATGACTGGCATATATAGGATATATTTTTCCATAGGCTTTCTGTTATATTGGAGGATATCCCAGGACAAATTTTGGGGGTACCTAACCTAACTTAAACCTTTTCTCAACTCAATATTATAGACAAATTAAAGAAATTAATACAGAACACAAAATATGATCTGCATAAATAGACAGGTAGAGTATATGAATGGTAATCACCTAAGTAAAATTAATATTGCCTACATATTCTTGGTGGATGCACTTTCAGGAAATTTTTCACTCATGGTAAAGTAGGTCTTTTAAAAGATTGGCACCAAAGTAATCACAGAAAATATCATTTGATGCTACCTGACTGAGGCAAATTCAGTGGCTAGGGGTGGTCAGCTGGTATCAGTGTTGTCATAAGACATTGTTTCAGGTGCACAGTTTGAATATTTTTAGTGTTCATTGCAGGAAAATCGGTTATATCAGACAGGCACAACTTTTATAGAAAATTGTTCCCTAATCTGTTAATATTTTATCAAAACCTCCTTAAACCATTGATTTACTGTACATGTACAAATTTTAAATATTTAATGTGTTAGGTCAGAAAATACAGGGAGTTCCTGCTTATCAACAACTTTGTGTTCTTGAAAAGTGTGACTTTAAACGACAGTATGATCCTAAAGAAATTTATCCCTGATGACTGCATGCTGCCTAATGCTTCCAGTAGATGACTGATCTAGGTACTATTGTCCTAATGTGTGAATTTGTGAATAAGTTACTGCATACAATATTGAGGTAATGTTAATTTTTCATCAACAGTATGAGTTGAAATGTTCAAGATATTTTGCATAAATTGTTTAATAGATCATAGTGTTAAATGGAACTCAATAAATAACACAAGTTACTTTTAGGGATATTTATTAATACTGACTAAAGCTAGAACAAGAATTCAAGTTTGTACGTACCCCAACTCTTGGGACACAGGTTTAATCCCATTGTCATGCAAGGTTGGAAGAGGATTATTATTTATGCTGTGCAGAGACACTTACTCTCAAGTTATGGACCCTGCTTCAGACACACTTTGTAAAGCTGTAAGAGTCGACACATTTCTAGAAAGTCCCTGACAATTTTCTCTGAAAATTTATGCAGCATTTCTTGAAGTGTTGTTTACCAGAAATCCTGTGCATCAAAGTAGGACTTGTTGGAGAAAACCAGATCAAGAGTTAAATTAAATTTATATTAAAACTTTCTTGCATTTACAATTATCTACTGAGTAACCAGACTGATTGACTTGCTTCACTTGTCAATACTCTTCACTGCAGCATTTTCAATCTTTATAATGTAATACAGGTGCTCCTCTACTTACGAACGAGTTACGTTCCTGGGGCTTGTTTGTAAGTCCAACTTTGCTCTTGTAGATACCAAACATATTGTAAAAAATGAAAAGATTATGATATTTAGTACAGCTATACCCTTTAACACAGCCTTAAAACCTGGCTCACTCTTCTCCTCTTCGGTAATGTTTGTTCTGTCTGGAATTTTCTTCAAAATAATCCAGTCTCAACCCCCCCTCAGTGATGATGTTTGTATCTCTGAAAGTTTGTAAGTTGAACATTCTTAAGTAGAGGAGCACCTGTACAGTATTAATATGACAAAAAAAAATCTTATACATTACCGTATATCACGGCCTATAAGACGAAATTTGAACATTAAAAAAATCTGCCCAAAGTTAGGGGGTCGTCTAAACCACCAAGTTTAAAATTCTTACCTCTTAAATATTGTGGTTTAGTGTGTCAAGAGTGGTGATGAAAACATCGTAAGCCACTCACAAGGTCTTACCACTAATTATTTTATACTGAAACTTACGTTTGGCAAGCTGGATTCAAATTAAGATTACCGGTATATTAAAATAATAAAAATGTATTATAAACCTGTCTAACATACCGTAAAAGAGATTTATACCCCTGTAATAAACACAGCTATCATCACACACCCCTCCCCACGCCCCCCCCCATTTGCCAGTGAGGAGACAAGAAAGGAAAAGTGCATTAATTCTTGAAACTATCGACGGTTAATTACAGACGCTCAAGTGACGTCACTAGTGTTTACACTACACCAGCTGGTAATATTTGATGCCATTACTTGAAGTGAATTGGCCTTATTTTAAGTAACTAACTATAAATAAATACAAAAATTAAAAAAAAAGATCAAAACTGAGAAATAATATACTGTATGTATGTTGTGTTGTCAAAGTAAGAGGAACAATTGTGTAAGTACGTAATATTTTTTCACTCAAATCCTAATGAAACACTACTGGAGAACATTCCTTTGTCGCAAAACAGTTTATAAATTAAAGAAAATAATTACAGTGTGTTTAATATATTACAGTATATTATAAATAAATAAATAAAACAAATAATTCGGTAAATCTATTTAAAGTAAATGGAAAATAAGCAAACATGTTATTTACCAAGACCCTTCCGTCTGGCTCAGGGTGAGATGTAGGGGAGATAAAGAAGGCTATTTATAGCCCATCAGAAGTGGCTAGTACCCTAATGCACCATAAATAATTCATTGAACATTCATTTTTTGTACATAGTATATTCAGTATATATATATATATATATATATATATATATATATATATATATATATATATATATATATATATATATATATATATATATATATATATATATATATATATATATATATATATATATATATATATATATATATATATATATATATATGTGTAATAAATGTATGTAGTAAGTACATACTGGTAACCTTTTTCACTCAAATCCTAATGAAACATCACAATTAGAATACGGTGGTTGCTGTTAACCACATGTTGTATAAATAGTCACACCACCCAGACGAGGGAACACTCCCACCACGCTTCAGTGACGTCACTAGTGTTTACACTACACCAGCGAGTATAATTTGATGACATTACTTGAAGTGAATTGGCCTTATTTTAAAAAATCAAGGATGGTTGGTAAAGGACTACTGAGTCAGTGGGTAAGTGTCACATTTGGGGTACTGGTCTTATACAGCAAATAGAGCTCAAAAGCTACTTTTTAAATGGAAATTTTGGGGGGGGCGTCTTATGCACCCCGCCGCCTTATAGGCCGTGATATCGGTAGTTATTCAATATGCTTTAAACTTAAAAGAATTATTCCCCCTCCTCTACAGGAACTGGACCAATTGGTGATTTCTCGAGACACAGGATTCTGGCGTGACTTCGGCTATGGAATGACATGCCAATATAGATCAGATTTTTTTAGTGTTCAAGGTTTTGATGAAGATATTATAGGCTGGGGTGGTGAAGACGTCTTATTATATCGCAAGTAAGTTATAGGTAATTGCCTCTGTGAAACTGTCATGTACTGTATTGATAGAATGCAGAGGATAATTGAGTTGTACCCTAGTTTTGCATTATTTTCTACCTCGCCTATTGACCTAACAGATATTAAAGAGGGATTAACAGATCTTTTATGGAATATGAATTAGAGGGGTTTTGTTACAAATAAAATACCCATAGCAGTAAATACAGTACAGTACACAGAAGTTTACTGAAGGCTGTCAAGAGTCTTTATGATGAAAGCAAGATACAGGGTATGTGTCATGCGAGATAATATTTAGGAGTGTGGGTGGTTTGAGATAGTTTGGGAGTTCATCAGAGGGGTATGATGTTATCCTAGTTATTTGATGTCTATAGATGGAATTGAAAGTAAGAAGGGGTGATTGTGGAATGATATAAAGGCATGATAACACAGAGTGGGCGCAGATTATACTGTATTGTTAGCTGAATCTGAGAGAGTGGCAGTATAGTATTGTATATTCTGTTGAAGTTTACTGGAGAAAATGTTACAAAGGCTGGAAAAAATGAAGTAGAGAGGGGTACAAGCTTACTGTAATGTTACCATTACTGCAGAATAATTGAAGGTTATGAATAGATTTAAATATTTGGGAGAAATCTTTAACAATTGGGGAAGTATAAAAGCTGAAATTAACACACGAGTAATTCAGAAAGGTGGCTCCTTCTAGATCTTAATTAATGGGAAGACTGAGTGGAAAGTGTGGATGGAGACGGTTGTGAATCTCAGATATTTTAGAGTATAGAATAAACCCCATCTGTGTAAGAGTATCACAGTTCTTTATTGAGCACTAAACGAATTAAGAAACTTATTTTTCTATCAGGCCAGGTGCTTCTCTTATTGTAACTGAAGCTCTTCTTATGACTGCAGCTCTGTTTTAGAGTAGTTTTCATGTATCATTCATGCCTTTTGGGGTTTTTTGGAGGAAGTTAGATTGCATGTGAGTTGTAGGATAATCATTGATGAGCTTCAAAGGTATAGTTTTAAGGATATGCAAGGGCTTCTGAGATCAAGAAAGAGATATCTTTTATCACTATATGAAGTTAGAATTGATAGAGAACAATAAATGCAAGAATAAGACACTTATGTAACTTAACCTTGATCTCTACTATAAAGTCCACTGTAAAATTAAAAACATACCTATTGGTGATAGTTGTAATTTGGAATTGTCTATAAGATTTATAAGTCATTAATTTGATCTGTAAATATGTGTTTTTCCCACAAATCAGGAGAAATCTATAGACTGTACTGTATTAGAAAAGATCTGAGTATTCATAGGAAACTATCAGTATCTTAGGTTATGTGTTCCTGGTACTGCTGTACTAACTTCGGTGAGTTCTGTCTCAGTTGTTGAAGCATTGTAATAACATTATAATGTAAGCTGCAATTTTAAGTTTGAAGACTAAAAGCATATGTTATGTACATTATTGGTGTGTAAACAAATGAGTTATCTATATGTATCAACAGAAATTAAAAGAAACTGCCAGAAATTCAAGAAACTGCATATATTTTTTGTGGAAAGATAAGATTCATAGATGTCCAAAGTCACCAAAAGACAGGATGACTTTGGATGGGTCTGAGGTTACTTCAGACAACAGTGTTAATTCAATGGCTGTACAGGTACATGTTCTTGAAAACCCCATCGTAAATCGAGTTCATTATCACATGAGGTTCAGCAACGATGGATCGGGAGGGGTGTTCCTGGGGTCCGGACCCCTCCCCCTTTATCAGAAAATTCCAATACTTTTTCTTAAATGCAGTATTGTACTCGTGTGTTTTTGTATCGTAAAAAGTAATTAGTATTGACCTCAGAATATTTCTTAATATCAAGTGTACATGGCTCAAAAATGGCCTCAAAATACTGTGTGGGCTCGCTGTGCTTACTTGTTCCCCCATCCACAACTTTTTGGGCTGGAACCCCCCCCCCCTCCCCCCCTCCTTTGATATCCTGGATCTGTCCCTGGTTCAGTGAGATACGTTCCCAGTCAGTCTGACACGCACATGTATCACCGTAAAAATAATTCATACACTAATAAAATAAATAGAAAACATTTAAACCACTCACCACATCATTAAGAACAAGCTTGGTCATCATCACGTGTCCCCTTCGAGGCTAAGGGGACTCGTAAGTGAAGTGGAGACGTCACTCTGACTCCCACACAGCCTCAAGGGAGTCCAGAGAGGCTGGAGACACAGTAGGAGTCAGAGTTCTAGGAGGGTCTTTTACTATGGGGGCTGGAGGTGTAGGCTTCAGTCTTTCCTTAAATAAGGTGAAGCTCATGAGTGGGACTGGAGAGGTGTCAGATGAAGAGGGCCCTGCGTGGCTTCTGACCCCAGAAGTCGAGGGTTACGACTTTGAAAAATGAGGTGATTGTTGTCTGGTATGCCTCCTCCTTCTCAGGTATAGCTCCCTGCTGTAGCAAGGCATGACCTTCTCCACAAGTGCCCTCACAAATGAATTCCTGTTGAAATTGGGGTCATCATCAGCAAGAAGCTCCATTGCAGAGTTCACACAGTCAATGACAGTGCCCAACACCTTCAAAGTCAGCATCATGGATGCAGGGTTTTCTTCCTCACTTGCTGACTTCTCAACTGCTTGCTGCTGTTCCAGGAGCAGCTGGTCCTCTGTGCTGAGCTCCTCAGAGTGGCTCTCAAAGACCTCATCCACATTCCCCTGGACAACCTCCTGAAAACCAGCCTCCATGGAGATGCTGGCGATGTCGCGGTGTGCAGCTACAACATTGGTGAAGCCGCCAAAATTACGCATGCTCTCCAGCCACACTTTCCTCCACACGTCATTCATGCATCTCTGTGTAACCTCCTTCCATGACTAGTTGATGTTGTGTATGGCATACTTGATGTTGTATTTATGCCAGAATTCTTTGATGGTCAGCTTTCCCTCTTCATCTGTCACCTCAAACAGCTGCATCATCAACCTCCTCTAGTAGTAGGCCACCAAGGTTGCAATGATGCCCTGATCCATCGGCTGGATGAATGAGTTGGTGTTGGGGGCAGGAACATCACAGCGATGTTGTCTGTCCACTCACCCATTGTAAGTGGGTGTGAAGTTGCATTGTTGAGGATCAGGAGAAACTTATTGGATGATGTTCTGCTCAGCAGCATACTAGGTGCTTGGAGAGGTAGCCAACCACATAACTCCACTCCTTCACCTCCACCTCACAATATCAAGCTTCACCTCCAGAAACACAGTTTTCCTGGTTTCCTTGGCAACATGCTTGCTAGACATAAACAAAGTTACACTGCTCACTTCAATCACAAAAACAGGGCAAAAGCACCAATCACAAAAACAGTAAAAGCACTTCACAATTACAAAAACAGAGTACAATCTTAACATTAGTTATGTCCTCTCACTGTAAGAAAAAAAATCTGATAACGCAACAATAATGAGAGCAGCCGACACTGCTCACATCATGTTCATAAAAACAGAGCCAAAGCACTTTTCAGTCACAGAAAACAGCGAAAATTATTTTACATTCACCAAAACAAGAGTACAATCTGAACATTAGTGATGTCCTCACTATAAGGGGGAAAAAAACACCAATGATAAGTAACAACAACGATACTGACCAATAATGATTGAGTTACATGATCACGGGCAGATGCACCGGGTGGCGGCGCACGGGTAGATGACACTGCAGCTGAAGTGCAGCAAGAGACATGTTTCCTATTCCCCAAGTTAGTGAGTTTGGCCGTACGATGGCCATCGTTGATGCAAATTTTTTTTTCGTATACACAGTCGACCCTCGTTAATTCGGACTAATAGGGGGGGAAGGGTGTCCGTTTTAGCCGATTGTCCGAATTAACCGATTTAGGGGTTAATATTGCATTATATTTCAAAGTCATTGTTTTCGTCACGATTTTATCCCACTTTCCACTGTAATACGTACGTAATTTCAGCAAAAATATTACATTTCCGTGAATGTATTATATCAAGCACAGTATGAATAGAATATCATTGTAATATAACAGTATTTTAACCGAAAACTAGTAAAAAAACGAATAACATCTCAAGAACATCGGAAGCTTAGGTAAAGTCTTTTGTTTTCGTTATGTATTTTATCCTATTTTACATTGAAATACATTTCAGCAAAACTACTATTTATTTCCGGGAATATATTCATTCAGGCGCAGTTTAGGTAAAATATACATGTGATGTAACAGTTTTTTAACTGAAAACGATTCGAAAAACACGTGTGCCGTCTAGCTGATACGCAACAGCTGGTGGTGCGTCTTGCGTCGTTGTAAACAATAGGAGGTTGAAGTAGATTACCGGGTATTATATTAAGTGTGAAATATCAAAAAGGTTTTTATTACCGGTATTTTTTATAGATCAATGAGAACTGTGATACCGTATATGATATGATAAGTTAGCCTGTGCTAAGAACTTCAACATAGACTACTGAAAACACGTTGTAAGGTAATTTAGCCTATTGTAAGTTGGTGAGCTTCATTTGCTGAAGGAACTGCACAACTTTTCATTACTAATTGGTACATATTTTACGTTTCCATTGTTTACTGGCAGTAAATGGTAAATATTTTTCATGTCTGAAGCTAAAAGTTGCATCCCCCCCCCACACTAGTGGTGGAGATGTTACATTTAACCAAAAAGACGCTGGTGTTTTATCCCAGCAGTGGGTGGACCAGCATTTTAGCTTAAGGTCCGCATAGGTAATATTCCTAAAAATCTTAAAAAAAAGTTAAGTTCAGATTTTGCTCAATTTTCCGAAAATCCGGATTAAAGGGAAGATGCCGAAGTAGACTGTAGGTGTTCTTATCACCATCAATAAAGTGAAATATTGTTAATTGAGACATTGTTAATTGAAGTTTATCTGTACCTGTTAGAGTCTAGCTGGACAGTTTGGGGGTGGCTTTGGAAATCAATGATTTTAGAAAAAAAGGGGGGCAAAAATGTGCAGCAACAAAATTACATCTAAGTACAGTACTCCCTC